GCAGTGAGCTTTTATTCTATAAAACGTTTTTTAAAATCTACTTTATAGCTTGTAGTAACTCACGGGAGGCTTCTTTTATTTTATTTGTATTCATAATAATTTTTATTTTTCGTCAGAATGTATTATGGTGCATTAGTTACGAATTTTTGTTCTCAAAAAACAGTGCATTGTGTGTAATACAACTGTGATTCTTATTAAATTAGTTAGTTTTTAAGGAAGGCCAGAGCTTCAGCTGTGTCAAATAGATTGTTCCCTTTAGTTAACGTCATTTAAAAGATAATTATATTCCTATTTGATCATGTCCCCTTTATTGTATTACGGACGCAGAGAGCAATGTGAGCGTCCATTCCCATTGGATAACGGAGGATTTTACACCCGGAAGTAAGTATTCTCCTTACTGTCGATTGATTTTACAGTGATATCTGCACTACTCATCAACTCGAAAACACCAGATTATCCTTGTTAATTACACAACATTGATTGGTTTAAATTGTGTACAATGCTTTTGTAATTTTCCACTTTCGATTCGGAGAAACAAATATTTGTTCAGAGTTTAGGATGGCCGAAGACACTACACTACCCAGAATCCTCAGCTATTGTTCCGCTTTGCCTCAAGCTCTGTGATTGGTTGACCTCCAACTGCATTCCATATGAAAAAAACGTTTCGTAAAAGATCAAATCATACTTTATTCAGCAGTGCTTGCTTTACTCTTTGAAAGTCATCACATGAATGCATTGTAATGAATGGTTTGGCTGCATTAAACATTACACATCTGTCGTAGTTCTTTATTTATCTACAGAGATCGGGCCTCAGAATAGACCGGAAACTATTCTTTTACCGTTCTATTTTAATTTCACAATAAAGTTAGTAGTAATCATTTGTTTTGATATTATTGTTTTTTATGAACTACTAGACCGCTGGGTCATGTTAAGACCATCTTTTCTGTGTTGCTGTGTTTTTTTTTACATCGCTTTTGTGTTACAAATATCAAAACAATAACAGAATTTCTCCGTCGTAAACTAAACCAGAAACAGCAGTATATTTTATTTTGTTAACAGTGTAAACTTGACAGCTTTTTAACCCGCACCTCCTACTGGTTAAAGCACGTTATTACACGTTTAGAGTCATTGCAATGCAGGTAGATTGTGTTGCTTTTTAATTACTGTTTTAAAATGCCTTTTTCTTAATGTCTTTCATTTTTGTAAAGCACTTTTGAATGTGTTATATTTGATGAAAACATTTAAATATTAAGAGTACATACTCTTAATATACTGTAGTGGGAAAGTGGAAGGTCAATGATATAAATAATATAGAATAGAAAATATCAAGAAGATACTGTAAGTGATCTTTACAATAAAACAGTTTAGTGCCTGATAGGAGGATGTGCAAAACAGACAAACTAATAAGGCTTTATTTAAACATTAAAGAATACTTTAGGTTAAGGTCTTCTTTTAAATAAGAAAAAAGCTTTGGGGGTATCTACAGATATTAAGCCTGACAAAGTACTTAACGTCTAATATATTGCATGGTTTGTTTTGGAACTTGACAATCAACTTTCCTGCAATGTTAACTATGTTGAAGCACTTATTTTAACTGATATTATACATATTAATTATACTCTTATAATATGTATGTAGATAGTATAAGAAATGTGCAGAATATGTTTAATGGTGGAGGTACACAGATATCGATAGATGTCTTGTAATGCACTGTTGATGAACCTGTGACCCAAGTTTTTAATTCATTGCATAACTACACCGTATATGCCACATGATATGGCAATAAATCTTGAAATCTTGAAAGGGATGTGCAAAATAGCCATTATATACAGTTTTTAATTAACTATTAGTAGAGAATAACGAGTAATGAATATGCTTTATAGGGATCTGCAGATAAATATTTAGTCTTCTCAAGCACCCACTACCAAATATCTCGCCTGATTGTTGGCTGAATTCACTGAATTTTACTTAGGTGTAACTAAAGTCTGATTTAAGGGTTGTTTATATTTCACATCATTAATCCAAATCTGTAAAGTAACTAAAATAAATGTAGTGGAGTAAAAATACCAGGTTAACCTTAAAGAAAGCCCTCAGGATTATAAAAGACCCCCATCACCCCAGCCACAAACTGTTCTGTCTGGGGGGGGGGTAGGACACGTTCTAAGCACATGGTGTAGTCCCATAGCTGAGGATTCTGGGTAGTGTAGTGTCTTCTGCCATCCAAACACTTCGAAAAAATATTTGTTTCTCCGAATCGAAAGTGGAAAATACAAAAGCATTGTACACAATTTAAACCAATCAATGTTGTGTAATTAACAAGGATAATCTGGTGTTTTTGAGTTGATGAGTAGTGCAGATATCACTGTAAATAAAATCAATCGACAGTAAGGAGAATACTTACTTCCGGGTGTAAAATCCTCCGTTATCCAATGGTATCCAATACAAACATGATCAAATAGGAATATAATTATCTTTTAAATAACGTTAACTAAAGGGAACAATCTATTTGACACAGCTGAAGCTCTGGCCTTCCTTAAAAACTAACTAATTTAATAAAAATCACAGTTGTATTACACACAATGCACTGTTTTTTGAGAACAAACATTGGTAAATAATGCACCATAATACATTCTGACGAAATATTTAAATTATTATGAATACAAATAAAATAAAAGAAGCCTCCCGTGAGTTACTCCAAGCTATAAAGCAGATTTTAAAAACGTTTTATAAAATAAAAACTCACTGCTGGACGTTGTAGAAATGCGTGTGTGCACCACGACAAAGGAGCCTCATTCACTTTACATTGGGGTTGTTTGCGTGGTGCTGACACGTAAATGTAGCAAAGTTTGTGACTCCACCACGCACTGCGGTAGTGATGGGAATTATGGCTCTTTGAAGGGAGCCGGATCTTATGGCTCCGTTCCTTTCAAAGAGCCGTTCAAAAGAGCCGTTCAAAAGAGCCGTTTTTTGAAGGTTACTAGGTTTATTTGCAAAATAATCACCAGGATAATGATTGACTGTATTGCCAGACCTAATGTCAATAATCGGCATTGTAAACATGACACAAGGTGGCGCCATATCCATGTCATCATGTCAGTGAATGTACTTTGAATTTACCCTCTGTATGTGTTAAGTAAATAAAGTTGCCTTGCCTTGAATGAAATTCATGCAACTCTTAATATTAGATACTGTGTTTTTAAGTGGCGATGGAGATTATTTGTTGATCCTGCTTTAAAGGATATTTTGCCTTTACAAATGGTGCGCTTTATCACTGCCTGGGTTTTGGTTGAAGTGAATCCAAATGCTGCTGCGTTTTCGCGTTTGGCTCATTTTCCATCCGAAAAACACGTTGTCTACCTGTCCTGTTCCACTTGGTATGACTTCTCTCTCTCGTGTATTCCGTTAACACCCACCCCATTTCACTCCTCGTGCTGAAACCATGGATGTATAATAAGAAGGCTGAAACCTACCAAACAGAGTAGGGGCGGATCTTCACAGAATACGTTTGGGGAACAAAATCAAGCTATTTAAAAGGCGAGTGGATTTTGGCAGGCAGTGAGTGCGGACCAACGATTGAACGATAACAAGAACGGCTCTCACCAAGTACGACTCGGTTCCCCTCGTTCGTACCAAAGAGCCGTTCAAAAGAATCGGCTCGTTCGCGACCGACACATCACTACACTGCGGTGTTAAGGAGTCGTGGTGGAGTCACGCATTCTGGTGAGACCAGGTTGGTGATGTCACGCTGAGCTCTGTGGATTCTCATTGGGTCTTCTGAAGGAATTTCAACTCATGCTGCATTTATCTAACAGGTAAGTTTCCCACAGATCTTATTTCGAGCTATTTTCTAAAATCCTATGGAGAAATGTCATTGCTTTTTTGTCGAGGGAACCCATGCGCAGCTTACTTCCGGGTTTTAGGACGTGTCACTGCACCTCTCTCGTCTCCTCTTCACACACTTTTCGCGGCACACGTACTTACAGCCAATCAGTTCTGAATTATGTGAGATGACGTATGGTGGGGATGGCAGCTCAGTGCCCCTATGGTAATTTTTTTTTTGCCACACACATTAAATTGAAATACTCTGAGCATGCACAGTGTAGTTTTTACAGTCACCATTCACTTGACAGTGAGAGGGAGGGGCATGATCGGGTTTTGTCCCACATGGCTCAAAGCGGCACTGTAGACACTAATTAGAAGAACACAGACTAAAACAGCAATATACAGACGAATCAGATGATTAAACATGATGTTAAAATATATTTTATATATATAAAAAAAAATTGTTTTGCATTTCATTGCATTTTTTTGTAATCATTATTTGTAATACTTTCTGCTGACACTAGGTGGGGCTGTGCCCCTAATGACCAGTCGCCACTGAATGTTTGCCTTGATTTACAATATGTTCTCATTTGTTTTATCAGTACAGTTTTGAAGCTTTTGTGCTTTTCTTTGCCATAGTCCACTTTAGACTGGATGAAATATTTCAGGATTGCACTTTTAACACACTTGAAATGTTCTCACCTGCTTGGTTTCAAAACATAACAAATGCCATAATCTGTTCATTGGGGACCATAACATCAATGCTATTTTTCATTGCTGTTGCCGGCCACAGTATTGCTCACGTAAACCTACTACTGCTGCACCCCCTGTAATCTCAGATGCACCCCAAGTCATTTTGTTCTGGAACCGGGCCTAAGCGGTGCAGAGAAACGAAATTTAAATTATGAAGCAGTTTTTGACGGCGCGCTATGCATGGGGCACCCTAGAGGGGGTTTCCCGATATGTCATTGCAGTAAATTAAAGGGGGTTTCAGGTTGTCGTTGCTGTGGACCTTTTCAATCGACCTTCTTTGGGGGCCCCCTTCTGGTCCGGGGCCCCAAGCAGTTGCCTGCCTTGCCTTTCGGAAAACGGCGCCCCTGAATATGATGCACCACGTGGCAAGGTGCAGAGGAGATATCCAGCTACATCAGGTAAGACCAAATCAATTGAATTTCACTCTCTTTGTATCAGGAACATGCAGCCATTTTTACCATCACTTTATAAACCCTGTATAGCAGTTCCTATGACTTCATTGCATCTGTGAAAAGTTTGTTAATGTACAATATAATATGAGGTGACTTACAAAACGGACAATGCTTTCACTTCCATTAGCCTACTGCGTCAAACTGAGCTTAAAGGTGTGTCAGGTCAGGAATGATAACTTGTAAAAAGTCTGTGGCTAAAGTGTGAGTGGTTTATCGTGGGAGAGAGTTAGAAAATATATTTTGTTTTTAGTTTGCACTTTCATTGTAGGCTACTGCCCTGAACCATATCCCGGCTACTCTAGTCACTCTGTCATCAAAACTGTATGGTAGCCATAAAAAAAGAAGTCTAATAAAGTATTTCACAAACAAATGATGGTTTACTCCATTGTAAGCAACAACAACAAAAAACACGTAGGCTATTGGATGCCATACAGAACTCTGTCGTGACATAACTAATCATAATATAATAAGATGATAAAAGTCTTAATATAACATATATTATTTATGAATGTCATAACATGTAACAACATTTGCACAATACAGTATGTCCAATAACAGGCATTAACAAGCCATGGTCTAGTATTTCATAGAAAAATAATAAATGAATGTCTTAAAAATTCAGAAATAGTGGTATGCCCTTCATATATCATAATATAGTATGTCATACGACAATTATAATACGATTCATAATAAAGCATATCATGCACTGGTGCCACACATTTGGTTTTTCTGATTTCTCTTTGTTAAGAGGTTCATTGTTCACCGTCTTTGGCGAAAGTTACCCAACAACAATGGCAGGAGAACCAGAGAAAGTCTGGAGCAGCGCTCTCCTCGACTGCTTTGAGGACATCAATACGTGTAAGAATTCAATACAGCTATGTTGATACATTTTCATTGTATTGGGATAAGGCCTTATTTTTGTCCTAAAGGGTCTTCATTTAAAATGACTGTGGTGTGTCTTTGTGGGTTTTCAGGTTGCTATGGTTTCTGGTGCGGCCCTTGTCTTGCCTGCACCGTTTCAGGACGGTTTGGAGAGAATTATTGTTTACCATTATGTGACATAGTACCCATGTGCACATCAGTAATGTATGGAATGCCCATCTGTGTTCCTCCTGCAGCCCTGTCTACTAGGGCTGCCATGCGAAACAGATACCATATCAGGGTACGGTATGATGCATGTGAAGTGTGTATACTAAATAGCTACATTTCACACGACAAGTTTAATCAAAGTGAAGCACTGTCTAGTATACAACTTAACATGTTACTTTTCTTCGGATCTCTGCAGGGTTCTCTCTGCGACGACGTTGCAGTGTCTTGTCTCTGTTCGTGGTGCTCCTGGTGTCAGATGCACCGTGAGTTAAAATATCGCAATATCATTCCTGTTGTCATCAATATGCAGCATCAAACCATGGTGCAAATGCAGAATCAAAACATACCACAAATGCAGAATCAATACATGCCACAAATGCAGAATCAATACATGCCACAAATGCAGAATCAATACATGCCACAAATGCAGAATCAAAACATGGTTCCAATGCAGAATCAAAACCTGCCACAAATGCAGCCTGTCTTTGTGACGACGGCTCAACCACAGCCAGTTGGTTCTGTGAGCCCACCAGCATACAAGAAGTCACCCTGAGTTCTGTGGCATCTCATTGGTCTGTTGTGTCTTGTGATTTTTTTTTTTATTCTGCTCAGATCGTACGGCTGTTTATTTTAGTATGTTTTTATCAGTAAAACACAAAGATTGAAGCTCATTTGTATTCTGTTCCCATGGTATGAAGAACACATTTCAGTTTCCTAATAATAGTTTAAAACATCTTCAAGCCCATGAGGCTTCATTCACACATCACTTATAGTCATATAACAATGTTATGTAACTAATGTTAACCATTAGTTTCAAATTATTTTGTATTATTGTTAATCCTTATTTCTGGATGTATCCTAAACCGCTCTTTGTTTCTGAGAGGTTTGTTCCAAGTCATGAAGCACACCGGTTCATCCACTCGGTTGACTGCTTCGGCACATTTCTTCTGAAAGCAAAACTAGTTCACTCCTCTCACTTTCACTTCTCAAAAAGTCTATTGTTTTAAAGAATGTGAAACTTTTCCATTTCTAATTTACTTAGAGGATATTACATTTAAACTTTAGATGTTATTGCTTTTGTTGTTGACTCATTGTGAGACTTGTAGCATGAAGGGATTATTTCAGATGTAATTAAGCTTTTTTTAATGTTAGTTTATAATTTACGTTACTTGTTTATAGCTTTAGCATGTTTTGATCTGTTAAATTAATGGTTGGTTATTTGTGTTTGTTTGTGAATAAACCACTATAATAAAACAGATTTTCAGTTTCCAGTTTATATATGTACAGAAAGAAACACACAAAATCCAAATAAGCGATTTCATTTGTTTTGTATTGATGATGGTTTCCTGCTTTGGACCACAAGAGACCTACACATGTTCCATTTTGTCTTTTCTCCATGGGGAGAAGTCAGTTTACTGAAAATGTTGTGTTTTAAAAGTCCAATGATTTTACAATCCTCGTATTTTCTTTCCTGTTGAAAACTGCTCCCAGAATGGCGAGCCCTTCACCACTACGATGAAGCTGGGAGAGCCTGCCTTGACGAAAAACCTGTTAACAGAACAAAGAGACAGGGAATCAGGAAACTAGAGCGAAGGAAGTTAGTGTCAGTGTCGTGTTAGAAAGAAACCTTGGCACCATGGTAGTAACACATTCCTAACACATTCCTACAGATCACCTTTATTTGATTAAAGTTGCCTATAGACTAGAAAACAGCAAACAACTGACAGCAGGGTTTTTAAAGAAATGTGCATGGTTCTCATTGTTGTTGTTTTTTTAAACTGGCTGGATCAACTCATACTGTAAAAACTACAATAACAATAATATGCAAAGTTGTGTGGGCATGCAACAACTAACATTACTTAAAACTGACTCATAGGCTGCAACACACAATTGTTATATACAAAAAAAATTCTTCTTAAACAAGAAAAAGGAGGTGAAGGTTAAAATATCAATAACAAGACAATACTGAACACCTGCAAACTGATGAAAGTGAAGAACTCTTGATGGCCATGTTATGAATAAAATGAAATCACACCTAATAGGGCTGCACGATATTGGAAAAAACTGACATTGCGAGATTTTTTTCCCCTGCGATATGAAAAAATACAGGAATTGAAGAAAAGACAGTTTTTTTTGTCCACAAACCATCCTTTCTTGAACTTTAATGCTATACAATTGGTATTTTTCTAACTATATTTAACCGGATGAAGGATTTTAGTCACGGACGTCTGGATCTTAAGTTATCAGAGCAGCAAGCTGAGCTAGCTCGGTTAGCAGCGCCGAACTGCCTTTGAGAAACACATGAAACTACTTTATTCAGTGTTTTTACCTTTAATCACCGGGTCCGTTTGCTTTGGAGATTTGATTGGGATTGGTGGTTTGCTGTGCATGCAGAGCCTGCATGTCACTCACTCAAGTACCCCTGACATGAGAGCGGCACGAGTTTTCCTTTTGAAGCAAGCAGCAAAATAATTGTAACATGACGTGTTTGAGTTAATTTGCCTACTTAATATCGCACGTCCTAAAAAAATTATATCGTGCAGCCCTAAAGACCCTTACACACCAAGCAGTCACCAGAGAACTCTCCGACGCCGACTGTTGCGTCGCCGTGTTCTCCTGCGTATTGGCCATGTGTCGCACTGGAACACACCGCAAAGACTTCAGCCGAGCACGTACGAACTGTGCATGCGTGAGTGGCAATAACTATCCTTACCAGCAGTAGTGTGTATTTGTCATTCAAAAGAGGCAACAACCGGAAGACAGAGAAGAAGAACAGAATGCGTGATCTAAACAAACAACAAATAGCGTGTGCGTTCCATTCTCACTCTCGTCCATCGAAAACATGTTTTGTGCGGTACTGGAGCTATCAGCCATTGGAGTGTTGCTTGTGGAAGACATTCTCAAGCAACCGTTTCTCTTCTCATGCACTGATTCGCTAGCTGAACAGCCAATCAGAGTGATTTCTTTGTCCGACTGCCTGTGGCCGACGCACGGCCGATTCAACATGTTGAAACGGCCGTGCGTCGGCCATGAAAGGCCAAATAAGGCGTGTCACGGCCGGCGGTGCGGGACACAACAAATTGAGTTTGGGCGACAGGGCACGCTTCGTCGTCCGACTAACGAAAACGGCCGATTTCGGCCTGGTGTGTCAGGGCCTTTACACCTAATGAGAAACAGACTTCATATGGACGCACCTTTTATGCTGCAACACCTTTAAAAGTAAAGTCTCCGGTTTCACTTGGTAGAGAGTGTCCTTGACCTCATCTTCAAAGTACAGCTAGAGAGAGGGGGAGGGGGGGTTAAAAATGCATTATTATTATTTCATCGAGAGATACTACTGCCCTCTTTTCAGTATTGAAATCTAACCCTGTAGTCTTGATTACTTGTATTCATCAGAAACCAGTAATGGACATAATACTAGTAACATCATAGTATGAAATGTTCTGTTTTAAGGTTCATGTCATACATTTTTGCAAGTGTTTGAACTTGGCTGCTATAATAAGTCTATAATAAACTGGGTAGTCAAAAATGTCCATATTTAATACACAATTTCTAATCACAAAGCCATCGGAGTATAAAACATGCATTCTGTTATAACAAACCTTCGCTCTGGTTTTAAAATTGTAGATTTAACTTTTTACAAACAGGTTTAATCATTTCTTTATGATTTCCCTATTGGACAACTACATCATATTTCTTTAAAAAAATAGTGGCATTATGTAGGACATCAGTGTCACATAAAATAGTAAAAATGACACTATGTTGACTTTTTCAGAGTGGTATTCTCAAATATTCATGACATCTATTGTGGTGAAGAAAATCCCCCAAATTATATTTTAAGTGCTTTTAGCTTAATCTACTGACTTTCCATAGGAGTGAGTGATAACATTCATGCAATAATGGAAAACACACAAACCTGCAGATTCTGTGGATGGTATTTTCTGTCTGTGTCCCAAGGTGGGAGTTCTTCTCCAAACATGAGCGCCAGATGATTAACGAAACTGAACAAGACAAGTAGAACACCGTTATATTGTAGCATTCTTACAAACACTACCAACAGATTAAACTTTACTTAGGTGAAATGGGGAAAGGTTGACATGTAGAGTATCCCACAGAAGTACGACAAAACAAGATAAATTCAGGACGAGACAAAAAACATTTACCAGTCGTTCTCGCAGAAAGCAGAGATGAAATCAGTCTGCTGGTGTTCAGGATAGAGGAAGAGAACAGGCCAGTGCAGAATGTGCTGCTCGTCCAGGAACACCCGAGCTCCCGTGGCCTCCTGAGAGCTGAGGCAGTCCAGGCTCAGCTGAGACAACGCTGCCGAGGAGCTTTCTTCCTCGCCGTCTGACTCACGATGACGAGGCTTGCTGGTCTGGAAGAGCTTGATGCCACGATCCTGCACAAAGCACACAAAGAAAATGGGAAAACTGGCGTACAGCTACTGTATAGAAAAGTCTCAGATTTGACGTTTCAGATATCAAATAATTTTCGCATACATATTACAAAGTCCAATTGGCTATATGCTTAGCTGAGAACAAGTTTGAGTTTAAATGGTATGCTTACCGTAATAGCAGCCAGAAGAGCTTCTTTCTCACCATGCAGCTTTTTTTCTTTGATCTTAGCCTTCCTGGAATCTCTCTCTGCTGCTCTCTGTTTAAAAAAAACAGGGCTTTATGCTTGAGTGGTACTAAATCTTCCACCCCAAAATCCCTTGAACTCATCAGTGACTGTACCTTGTGTTTATCTGCTGTAGCTCTCAGCTCCTGCAGCTTCTTGTCAGTGGGATGGATCTTGAGCCCCTCATCACACCACTGAACGCCCTCTGCAAAGCTACGCAGCTCTATACAACTCTGAGCACCTGCAGAAACACACACGATGTACACAGATGTCCTTATTTTATACATTGATATGCTTAAGCAACATTAATGCAATTTTCTAGAAGATAAGCTAATATCCCACACCTCTGATCAAGGCTTTTAGGTGGTCTGGTTTGATCTTCTTTGCAGCTGCAGCATCGTTCAATGCAGAGCGCATGTTACCTGGGGGAAAAGAAATACAGAAAGAGTGAGACGGAAATTAATAAAGAAACACATGCAGATTTTAACACGTTCCCATATTCAGAATCGCTTTATTGGCCCAGTATGTGTATTGTAAATGAAGTACAAGGACAACAAAGCCGAACAAAGTAAACATAAATATTTGGCTACTATACAAAGATGTATTTATATATCAATCTACACAATGACACATGTAACCGTGGGGACACTAGTTGTAAGGGTCTGGCTTATACATGAGATGATAAATGTGATCGGTTGCTTGCTTTACATGAGGACGGTGAATATGATTTTATATTAAGAGTATGCAGCGGAGTATGCAACATATATTTACATGTTTCCGGTGAACAGAGTG